CCTAAAATTAAATTTGACAGTAGTGTATCTTTGTAATTCTCTATACAGAATGAAAAGGAGAGATTGATGTCCTAAGAACTACGTTATATGTCGATAAATGGCTATATCATATTTTATGATGCCCAACGAAACCATCACAAAAAGCTTAAACTTACACTTAAAGCAGGGAAGTTAAAATAGTTTGGTAAGCCCTCTGATAAAACTACCCATTTGTTTAGTTATTTATCAAGAAACAACATTTTTAACGTTATATTCATAATAATTGCGTAGGCGAACTTCAGTTCAGTGCTCTTATCCTGTGCCCATGCTTAAAACTTCCGGTACGAGCGTAAATTATCACATCCGTTCCAATGAGTATAGGAACATACTTATGATAAATTTATACATTGCAAACTACTAATTTTAAACAAAAACAACTGATAACATAGCCGTGTTTTCCCACACAGCGATATTTTGTTTTACACCAAATATTTCGAGGATAACGTTTTTATAAAAAATCCGGACGAGTGCGAGTCGGACCGTGGGTTCCGTTCATATCTGTAAGTATGCTGTATAAACGGCCGCATCTTTTTACACGACTGCCCAATAAAAAAGAGTGTCATATATTCAGGATTCATGTACCTATGTATGTACAGTATCTAGACCCGCGGTAATCCTTTTCGAATTTGTCGGATTACAGAGTACTGTAAGGCTCGTATTACAGAATGACAACTTAGAGTTGATCTTTACGTGATGTGAGTACAGTTAGAAAAGGATGTCCCTATGTACTATATATATACTATATGTCGCTATGTGCTATATATAGCGACATCCCTTTCTACTCTTCTTTCTTCGTACTCAAGTAAAGATCAACACTTAGTTGTCATTCTGTAATACGAGCCTAAGACCACTCCCTATAGTCCGGAAGTTTTGGAATAAGAGTACCTTGTAGTCTTATTTCCATTTCAATTGATTGTATGTGCAAATCAACAGTGATAAGCGTGTCGGATTACAGGGGGCGCCGGATTGGATGGGGTCCGGATTACCGCGGGTCTACTGTATGTACAATGGTTTATTCCACCATAACTTCTAAACGCCTGAACCGTTTAGTGTGCAGTATCGTTAGAATTCTTTCACCATTTCGGGTAACATAGGATACCTAAACTATTTTAACCTAAAAATATATATATAACAGTAATGTCAAAAAAAATACTACTAATTATTACAATATTGGTTTGTATTATTGGAAAGGAGAGAGGAGTATCTTAATGAAACCATATCAATTAACTATATACAAAAGCATTTTTAACGGCAGTCGTGGTTTTTTACATTTACTTAGAATATTACCAAATCCTGGGAGTAGGCGCAACCTTGAATACCGGCGTACATACGATTAAAGGCCCTAGGCCCTAGACCCTGGTTTGTCCTACTAGGGGGACCACGGTTTGCCACTATTTACTCGTGGCTTTACTGGATTATGGCGATTAATATGTTATCAATAAAAAAAAATAGTATTAACGTTAAATAATATATATATATATACTAGCTGACCCAGCGAACTTCGTACCGCCCTAAAAAAATAGGGGTTGTCCAGCGGACAAAATTGTGAATCTAAACCATTCTCAGATCCCCTTGAACACACACAAAAAATTTCATCAAAATTGGTCCAGTCGTTTAAGAGAAGTTCAGTGACATACACACTCACAGAAGAATTATATATATAAAGATAATAAACAATTATTCAACTCTTCAAATTACTCTTTGAGACGTACATTGGCTAATAGTGAGCGATTTTTTAACCTATTTTTTTACTTATTGGAGTATTTTTTTATTGTCGCTCCTGATTTCAATGAAGGACCAAAGTGCTAAAATTTTTACAGAATTAGATAAAGGGCATCAAAAGCTTTAATTTGCATTTCGGCTTTTCTCCATAGACACATTTTTGCCACGCAATAGCCAAATTAACATTTTTTTAAATATGAGATTGCAGCACCCTCTTTGAAATTATATAAAAAAAAATCATTTAAAACAGCTTTAAAAATAAAACTAGCGATTCATATATTTTTTTTTCTTTTTTCAAACAAAAATTAAAACCTGAAATCGTTTGCTTTTGGACACTAGATATTGGCTAATTACTCAAAACGCCATGGTCGACATTTAATTCTGACCTCATATTCTGATTCAGCACCCTGGAAAACATAAATATCAGTCACAAAATACTGCTTCAAGAATATTAACCCACAACAAAAGACAGGATGACTGGACTATCAGATCAGTGTTATACTTTTTTTTTTAATTTTACTTAACATGAAAATACACAAACTTAAGCGGTTCAGATTTAATGTGGATTTAAATTGAAATGAAGAAACAGAAATTAATAAACCCTTATTAAAGTAATGATCCTTATTATATTATAAGATTTTTTTTTTCAATATATAATAATATTTATATTAGTTGAATGACGATCTCCGTGGCTCGAATAGCATGTACGCCGGTTTTCAAGGTGTCGCCTACTCAGAGGACCCAGGTTCGAATCCCGGTGGAGCAAATTTGTATCTAAGTTCTTTAAACTTTTAAACCAATATATTTATTTTATCCGTTACCCTTGTATCCCATAACACAAACTTTAGTGCTCCTACGCACTAGCGGTTAGTCGCCACAAAATATCAACCACGGCGGTTGCATGGAGAGCTGCGGCCCGCTACGCGGCTGACCGCCATCTTGTTTATACGCAATGGCGATTCATGGGCAGTTTAGTTTGCGGCGAGCCACCGATCAGTTAATGTTAATGCAACCTGATAATTTTATTACTAATTTCTCTTCTGGTTGGATACAATCACAAAATTTAGTATATTTTACTTTGGTGGCGTCATATAAAACTGTAAGTAATTCTTCAAATGGCGACACTCATTCTAACATAGGCGTAAAATTTATTTTGGTGCTTCTTCAGTTCTTGAAAACAACTTGCGAACGTCACGAACACGAACTTCGTTGCGTGTTTCTAGTAAAGGATGAATCCTGAATCATTTTTTTCTTTCGTTGTTTTAGGGATGAAAAATAAATAACACAAGCTATCTCGACGGCGTCTATTTTGTTTATGGGAAACGCGCCTTCGAGCGGTCCAACCGCTTAAACGAACCGCCTAGGCGGCCAATTGCTAGTGCGTAACGGGTCTTAGTGCTTACTTTGGGACTGATTGGTGTGTGTTAGAAATATTTAATAATACAAGCAATTATCGGTACTATATTAGTTGGACCTTAGTCCAGTTGGACCACAGGTACATCGTGATATACCGTGGTCCCACCAGTAGGGCAAACAAGTGGGACCACGGGCCCTTGATCAAAAAGGATTTTTCAAAAACGCGAAAAATATTCCATTTGAGCTTCTGTTGCGTGCGCTGCGTAAACAGATAAGTTATACAAAAATCAACAGAATTGTTACCTTTTGATCTTTTTATAAAATGAATGATTGGTTTCGCTTCGCTCGACTAGATGAAGTGGGCACTGACCCCTGTCATACAGGTCTTTATCCTATTATAGGGGTCAGGGACTACATTATAAACAAGTATGTAATCAATTTATGTGACAATAAATAAATTTATTATTATTATAGATACCTCCAGCGTACTTGTCAAATGCGGCAGCAAACACTACACCAAAGTCGGTGTATCCGTGCCTTCACCGAGCCAGTCACACTGACAGTTGTGTATGCGGTGTACGTACCGGTTTTTATTTTGGCCATAATCGAAAGAAAAATACCAGTTTGCAGTGAAATAATATTACAATAAATAAGAAGGACCCTGGGATCACATACCATCAATAAGTATCGTAAAATTTCGAAATTTCAACATTAACATGAACCCTAAACGTTATTCAGGTGTTACCGCGTATACAAGGATCAAGTCCATATGGTTGAGATTATAAGTGTATTTTATTATTGACCCCATGTCATTTAAACTTACTTTTAAACTAAACCTGGTTTTATAATGGTGCCAATTCTGGCGTGATTCTCTAAACTTAAAACTAAATTTAACATCAGTCTCTCCTTTTCATTCTGTATAGAGAACGACAAGGATATACTGCTGTCAAATTTAAGTTTAGGTTTAGAGAATTATGCTAGAATCGACACCACTATTCGATGTTTATCTGTGTAATCTTCCTTATATTTTCTGTTTATTTTTAATATATTTTTTCAACAAACTTACTCGTAAACTGTTTTTTGACGATCAACTTAGCACACTTGTTTTATAACGTACTAGTAAATATTACATGTAAATAAAAAAAAAATTAAAAGTGAGGCCTAATCATACACACCTACCATGTTTCTGAAGAACAAACCTACACCGAATCGTATAAGTACATAAAAATATTGATATATTCGCATTTAATTAAGTGCATCTTCTTTTAGTATTTTAGAGCTACATTTATAATCTCTAACATATTAATTATAACCACCTACATTTATAAACAATAGAACACAGCATACAATATTTTCCCTTACGTACTTGGGTAGCAGTTGAGCAGCTGGCTACACGATTCTTGACATACATTAGCATCCTTGCAAATTGACTGACATTGACAAATGTATCCTTAGCACGGACCAATATCGAATTCGAATACATAGTTAAATTCGATCTCGATACGCGTCAAATGTCAAGAAGTTTTGTATGGAAGATTTTTAATTCTCGTTACGTCCGTTGTGGCGGTGTTAAAATTTTCATACAAAACTTTTTGATATTTGATGCGTGTCAAGATCGAATTCAAGTCGATCAAAGGGAATCATTCTTCTATGTTTTTAAATTGACTCAGTATAACCCTTTTCCTTAAATTAACGCGGCTAAAACCGCAAGATATCTAAAATATGCAAAATAATGCTGTTCTTGGTAAAATGTAACCATTGGTACTTTTTTCATATGATTGAAAAATATGCTATGGAACTATTAACGTAAAGATAGAAATTATTCGTTTAGTATATTTTTGTTTTTATTTAATTATGAATAAAGAGACCAATAAAAAATAAAAGTTTATTAAAATTCGATCGAGTTATAACATTAGTAACGTTAATAAAGAATACAACAAAATATAAATAACAAGGTCATATAATTTCGAGATTCGAGAATGATTCAATGAATCATTTATAATGTAATATATTATAATTTGTATTCGTAAGAGTCTTTAAACTGGCATGTTATATTGTAAGCGGGAAATAATTTGAAGTAGTAACTAGCATTATTAATCTTAACAAATTGCGACATCTTGACTTCCTGCATTACATAGGGATAGGAATTTATTTAACGCCGATATCTCGTGACGTCACTGCGGTAGCCGTACGAGTAACGGTTGTTGTGGTATTTGCTTTTTTAGCTGCAGTACCTAATCGTTTGATAGTAGTCGTAGTAGTTGTTTTAGCAATACCACCGTTCGGCAGATGCTCTACTTCTGTTCCAGATCGTACTTCCTCAGAGACAGCTTGAGATTTTTCATGTGCATTAGCATTCCTGACATTCCTTTGCACGTTCTGTTCAAACCCTTCTCTTCTGATAATCTGACTGGCATTCTCTTCAGTACAAAAAGCGCCTCGGTCCCCGCTGAGTTCAACTCTCTTAACTCCATTCTCTACCGGAATAACCTCATTACTGTGGTAGTATTCCTTGAAACCATCATCTTTGTCAATGGTATAGGATCCGCGACGTATAGGCTGTTCCGGAACCCAAACTAATTCTTGGGTGAGAACTTCTTGAACTGGTTCTGGTGTTACAGTAGAACTTCTAATCTCACTTTCTGCTCTTACTTGGGTAACATGACTTCTAGAATCATGGACCGAATCCAATGAATACGACTCGTTTCTAATCATTTGTTGATTGACATCGTTACGTTCGTCGATTACTTCTCTCAGTATTTTATTATCTTGATGTACTTGAGTCAGTTGTTTTTGGGTGGTCTGTGATTGGTTACTGACTGTCTGTTTCTGCGCATTTTCATTTTGGATAGGGCGCATAGGTTGAATGGGTTTGAGTTGTCCTAACAGTGGAGAATGCTTAATTCCAAAAGTGATTTGTGGTGTTTTCGTAAACTGCACCTGTAATACAAAAAATATAATCATTTAGTAGTTTTACCTTTACAATTATTGTTAAAAGAAATTTTCCCTAGAGTTACGTTTACGTGTTTTTCTCTCATATTTGTTTAAGAAACATTATATCAATCAAGTTGAGTTCATAACAGCTTCTTACTTTGAATATATGAAAGTACATCTATTGCTACGTAATTAACTTCACGTCATGATCAAATGTCGTCCATCCATCCATAGGGACTTTCTTGTACTTAGCTTGGTTTAGCTCGCATGACTATTATTATCGCGTGTACGGTTGATTCCATGGTAGGATTCGCGTCGAATCGCACCATATTCGATCGTTTGAGCGATACACTGAACCAATATATACCGAGAATTTAGAGTTACCTTGGAACTTAAAAATCATATAATGTAAAATAATGAGAACAGTTATAAAAAATAAACGTACTACACCCCCAGGCAAAATATTTATTTATAACATTTTACAAAATCTAATATATAAAATTCTCGTGTCGCGGTGTTTGTGGTTAAACTCCTCCGTAACGGCTCGACCGATTTTCGTGAAATTTTATATGCATATTCAGTGGGTCTGAGAATCAGACAACATCTTTTTTTCATCCCCCTAAATGTTAAGGGTGGTCCACACTTAAAGCGCAAGACACAATAGAACGTGACGTAAGCAGTATTCGAAAATTTAAAAAAATGGAAAATTGAATGCCGTAGAATGAAAACCGAGGTTCCCTAAGCGATGCGTGTGGAACTGAATTTTCTTTCATTGAATTTACGTCCTTCAAATTTGTTTGTGTAGCTTTTGTAAAATTGTTATTCGTTATATAGTGAAAAGCTCTTCCACTGTTTCCTTTTGTTTATTTGTTGTTAATTTTTCTTTGTATTTTAGATATAAATGCTGATTCATTATATTTACATAGTATTTAATACACCCGTTTGAAGCCGGGACGGGCCGCTAGTATCCTATAAACGGCGCACATGTGTATTTAACGTAGGTACCTAATGTGGAATTATTATCAGTTAAAATTACGTAGACTTTTAATGTAGATTTATTTTAATCAATTTATGTCTACTAAAATTGTTAAGGTTTCATAATTGCATAATTATTAAGTTTAGGTGGAGATACATGAAATAAAAAAAAACAGAAATATAACATATCTATGTCTGAATTCGCTAGTAAATTTTATCAGGTAGCTCAAAATTCACGTTGAAACAAATACTGTATGAAAATAACTGAACAGTGTGTTGTACTGAATTTGGAAATTGTTATATTTTTTACCTTCTCAGGTGAGTAGGTGCCAGGCGCAGGCACCCGCGCACGGTCATCCACTGGAATCTTGTGGCGGCCGGATATTGTGTACACTGGACTATCCAGCACTGAAGGAATGCGGTATGTATTGGGTGCTGCAAACAATCAAAAACAAAATCAGATATCTGACAAATTGATTCTCTACGACAAATTAAAAAAAGAATAATAATTATGCTGACTTTATTTTCCGGACAAATCACATTAAAGTAAATCCAAACTAAGCAGGTTTGTTTATGAAAACCAAATAAAGGTTTGTGTCCTTTGTTAACAGGTAGTCGGTAGGTATTCGAATCTGAATTTTCGAACTTCACAGCAGAAGGTCGAAGCGCTACAGTTGTCCCAATCGGTCATTTAAATAGAGTATTATTATTTTGCATGTATGACTTGATGGTTTAGACAATGACGATGGTAAATAAACGTAATGGATCTACGATCATAGTCGATATAATCTATCTCAGTAACAAGCGATTGAAGATCTTCTTGCTATGTTATATGAGCATTGGCTATCAATAATTTGCACCATTGAGTTCTAAACGGTCTTTAAATAACATATATGTAATTGTAACTATTAAAATAAAAAGTTACCTGGTGTATTATTATATTTGTCGGTCTGAATTTTGACACCAAATGTGTACTGTGGTGAATAAGTCAACACAAACTTGTATCCTTTTTCTGGATCATACGTTCCCGGTGCCGGCACTTTCAACCTTTCGTCAATTGGCTCCTTATGTCTTCCTGATATTGTGTAAAGAGGAGTCTTCACTGGCGTTGGGATCGTGTAAGAGTTGGGAGCTGCAAAAAATGTTAAAAATATATTTCAAACACTACTTTATTACTATTACTATTATTACTATAAATAAATCTTTATTGCAATTTGCTTAACCTATGATCTCTAAAAATTTCAACTAGATTTCCTTTGCAGTACTGATACAAAATAGCTAAACTTAATTACAGACTTTTTGAAGTTTTCATTAGTGTATTTATAAAGAAATTGGTACATACCTGGTGTATCTATTGTTTTTAAATTATCTGTCTTAATTCTGAACGTGTATTGCGGGGAACTATGCAACAATATTTTATCAGCTTTATCGGGATTATAGCTATTAGGTGCGGGCACATTATCTGGCTTATGAGGATTTGTTTTTATCCTAAAGGAATAACGTGGAGCATTATCCAACAAAACCTTATCGGCCTTTTCTGGGTTGTAAACATTAGGCCCAGGTGTAACATCTATTTTACTATTATTCACCTTAGGTCTGAAAGTATAGGCGGGTGACGTTTCGTGAAGAACTTTGTCGGCTTTTTCTGGATTATATGCATTAGGAGCAGGGTTATTAAGAGGTTTTTCAGCTGGAGGCTTAACACCGAAGCTATATTTTGGTACTCCATCAATCATATAATGATATTTATCAGGCTCGTAAGCATTTGGAGCGGGATTGTCTACTGATTTATGATCTGCGTGTTTAGGTCTGAACGTGTAAGCTGGAGAACTTTCTAGAAGAACTTTGTCTGCCTTCTCTGGACAGTAGGTGGTAGGACCAGGAGTTTCGGTAATTTTACCAGGATGACCTTTACCCGCGATTGTGTATTTTGGAGAATCATCAATAAGGTGGGGGTCGTAAGCATTTGGTGCTGGAACATCAGATATTTTAGAATCATGTCCTTTCCCACCAATGCTAAATTTAGGAGTACCATTTGGCAAATGAGGATCGTATGCATTTGGTCCTGGAGTATCCGAAGGTTTACTAGATGTTCCTTTTCCCGATAAGGTGTATCTTGGTGTACCGTCTAATAAACGAGGGTCGTATGCGTTTGGAGCTGGCACATTCGACACTTTTTCGTCATGACCTTTTCCTAACATTGTATATCTTGGAGAACTGTTAGCCAGATGTGGATCATAGCTACATGGACCAGGAGTGTCTATGGGTTTCCCATCTGGGCCCCTACCACTCAATGAAAACTTAGGAGATCCATCTATTAAATGTGGATTATATGCATTAGGAGCAGGAACATCAGGTATTTTTCCAGATTGTCCTTTTCCGGAAATCGTATACTTTGGTGTTCCATCCGGTAAATGAGGATCATAAGCGTTTGGTCCTGGAGTTTCAAACAGCTTCGGATCATGACCCTTTCCATATAAACTATATTTAGGCGTACCATCCAACAAATGGGGGTCATAACAATTTGGAGCCGGAACATCATTTGGTTTGTCTAATGCATTTTTCGGTCGAAAAGTGTAAGCTGGTGAAGACTCATGTAAAAGTTTGTCAGCTTTATCAGGACAGTACACGTTGGGACCAGGTATATTATCAAATTTAGGCGACGGTCCTTTACCAGACATAGTAAACTTAGGAGATCCATCTAACATATGAATAGACTTTTCGGGAGCATACATATTCGGAGCAGGGGTTTCATTGGTCTTTAGAATGTGATCTTTCATTCTAAACGTATATGATGGAGATGATTCATGCAAAAGTTTGTCAGCTTTATCTGGACAATAGACATTAGGCCCAGGTGTATCTGGTATCTTGCCAGAAGGCCCTTTTCCGCTAATTGTGAACTTCGGAGCTCCATCTAACATATGCATAGATTTTTCAGGAGCATAAACATTAGGTGCTGGGGATTCGCTTCTTACTGAAACTTGCTCTTTTACTCTAAATGTAAAAGCTGGTGAACTCTCATGTAAGATTTTATCAGCCTTCTGTGGCTCGTAAGAATTAGGAGCTGGTGTTTCTGAGATCTTGAAACAGACACCTTTTCCAGACATAGTAAACTGTGGTCCACCATTCAACATGTGTATAGATTTTTCAGGCGCATATACATTAGGAGCGGGTGTTTGCTCTATCTTTTCTACAATTTCTTTTGACCGCATCGAGTATGATGGAGAGCTCTCGTGTAGCAACTTATCAGCTTTTTGGGGATTATAAGTGTTAGGTGCTGGAGTACTATCATGCTTTTCAGCTACTCCTTTACCTGCTAGAGTATATTTTGGACCATTTTTCAATGAGTGAAGTGACTTCTCTGGTGAATAAATATTGGGTGCAGGTGCATTATGCACTTTGTGTAATTCAGTTTTAGTTCGAAATGAGAATGCAGGTGATTTCTCTCGCATAAATCGATCAGCCTTTTCTGGGCTATAAGCATTAGGAGCAGGTAATTCTTCTACCTTTTTCATTTTCATTTTACTTGCAATAGTATACTTGTGTGATTTTTCGCTTATCACATCGCCCTGTAAATCAAAAGTATTATTTTATTTGGTTTTTTTTTTCAATATCTATTTCATTTTGAATTATACTTCAGATTAATCTACTGGTTATATATAAAAAAATTACCGTTAGTGTTTGATGTATCATGAGCAAGGAGCATGCAAAAGAAATCAGACACTTTTATAGAAACTCACTGCATCAACAAAGAACAACTTTATATTTATAATATGAAATTATATACGTAATTCAGTATTGATTTAAATGATATTATAAAAAATCTGTAAAATGTTATAGTAACAATGACGATGTTAAATGTTAAAGCTTGATACGGACAGGTTAGATCGCAGTGATGCCTTCGGGTGCAGGATAGTAGACGGGCTGGCCACAGAACGGAGAATGTCTGATGCCGAAGGTATGCGCCGGTGCCCACGGGAGATTCACGCACACCTGTATTACCCGTCCCAATGTTAGTTCGCGTTATGATAATGTCACCATGCATTTAGATGTAATGTTAATATGAAAACAAATACAATTGTTACTTAGATGGTTTCTAAAGTAATGCAAAATAGGTAGTATTAGTGGCCTCTTACATAAGGCGGTTAAGTAGCCGCGAATATAAAAGGATGTTTCCACTGGCTGCACATCCAGGACATGCCATGAAAATTAAATGGCCTCGGCAATCTGGCTGCCGAATATGCGAGAACGCTAGGATTTATTTATGAAGAAAGACATAAGTAATTTGGCTATTTTTGGAGTCAAGAGAACAACGTACCTTCTCCGGACAGTAAAGTCCCGGTCCAGGCACAGCTGCAGATGGAGGTTTGACTTCTCTCCTCGGTGCCATGGTGTACGCGGGCGGTCTCTTGGTCAGCGCCACTGCTGCCTTGTCAGGTGTATAGGTGCCGGGGCCTGGCATCGGTAATTTTGACTCAGCGGTTCTCCCTCTCCCCGTGATGCTGAAGGCTGGGGCTGCGCGTTTGTTACCTTCCTTGGCTTCACCAAGCACCGGGGGCATAGAGTACACGTTGGGAGCTGGAACACAGTTATTTTTGTATTAAAAAATGTTATGTTGATATAGAGTATAACTATATTGTATTCGGTATGCTTTGACTAAAATACATTTTAAACATGCAAATACACTTTTATTTCTGAGTGACTATTAAAAAATGCAGTGATCGTTTAAAAAAATAAACAGTAAACTTAATGTAACAAATATGAGCTGAGACTACATTATGATACTTAGCGAGTACATGATAACTTGATTAATAGATGTATAATAGAAAATTCTTACAGTTGTAGATGTGTACATACGCAATGATAATTGCAACAATGTTGCCTTAAAATTAAAGTTCTATTCGGATTAACTATTGCAAATGAGAAACATCAAGCCAAGGCTGAACAGTATCCAATTACGGTAACGACTGGCTACTCAAGTCGATCACACTTCATGCACCAAATAGCTAAAGTGAAGCTATCTGCTTGCTACATGATTTGCACCTGGCGTTTTCCCGCCGGGCTGCGGCGGGCTGACGCGGATGCCAATAGAGAAGGCGGGCGCGTGGTCTTGAACCACCTTAACCGCTTTATTGGGCTCGTAGTCGCAAGGAGCGGGAGTGGGGATCACTCGCATCGGTGGCCATCGTCCGTGCAGTGATGCGGCTGGTCCGGCCGCACGTCCTAATTCGTTTAAATATGCTATAATCTAAAATTATGTCACCACTTCTACGTTCTTCTAAATTTTGACTTTTAAATGAATTTCCTTCCTCGCAGAATACAAATCCTAAAATGAGCTCTCTGGATTAGCCTTTCGCATTTGGCAGGAGTTTATTTAAAAAAGACAGCAGAAGTTTTTTCTGTGCAAGACCGAGCATTTGATAACACTGTTAATTTCAGGTGTGTCTATCTATAGGTACAAATATCTAAACTTAAATATTAAGTCGAAGAGTTTGTTTGGTTGAACTCGCAAATCTCAGGAACTACTAGTGCGATTTCAAAAAATATGTTTTGTTTAGATAGTGCATTTATTAAGGAAGCCTATAGGTTAATTAATATAATGATACGACCAACAGGTAGGGTTGTCAGATGGCCGGGATTTCTGGGATTGTCCTGGAATTTTGCGTGCTGTCCCGTGTCCAGTAATTAGACCTTATTGTCCCGGATTCCGATAATAGTTTCGTAACGAATGTTTAATTCTGGGGGATGATGGGGGATTTGATTTGCTGCTTTATTATTTTGGGTGGGGGGGGGATAAATGTTCCGGAATTGATAAGCCAGCATCTGACAACCCTATCAACAGGAGCGGGCACCTATGAAAAATGACGCAAAAACAGGAAAAAATATCCCGTTGGGAGCTTTCGTTCGTAAAAGTTACACAAGAATAAAGCAAACGGAATTTTTCCCCTTTTAAAATTCTATAAAAAGTTCACGACTGTATAATTTAATCTATGTTTTAAAGGTGACCCACTATAACCTTTTTCCTCAAACTCATGCAGGTGAAACCGTAACGCACTTCAAGTAATATAATATAGAAGATATTCAGACAAATCGTAACCCTGTTTGCTATATTAATATTATTCCTATCTTTATTTAAAAAAATATTTGAAATATTTATTTGAATTTCAATGGGCTGATAATGATAAATATCATTATATGTAGCAAGAAGTCAAAGTAAAGAAAATGCTTTCTGTGTTGCCAAACAATCTATGTAGGTAATTGTACCTTAGAATCAATTTAAAAAAAACTTTCAAGTATCAACCTTGTTTGTTTGCTCACCAATAAACATTATATAACAAAAGTCCTTCGTTGAATGTTGCGCACACAGCACACACAATTCACTACAACGAGCTTTATGAATTGAAGAATAACATAGGTAGTCAATATCATTCGGTATTATGAGTTTAAATAAAACGATGATTTAACATTAATATGTATTTTATATTTAGAACTGTTTACTCATATTTTTACATAAAAAAAACACCAAATCTAACTTAACAATTCATGAAATAGCTACTTGATTATTATGTCTAAAGTTATTTCATCAGTATATGAGACTTTTTTGAAGTAGCTTTCAGGCGGAATTGGAACTAGGCATCAAAAAGTTTTAGAGAAATCATTTGATCCTGATAAGTTTACGTCTAGCTTAAAATTTTAAAATCTGTAATCGTGTTTTCAACTTTCTTGGTAACTCATTTTCAATGAGTTAAGTACCTCTATATATTTAATATATTTTTATTTTGAGCATGAAACTGAAATTTCTCCTAGTAACATTTTCAGCAGATTTACAAGCAAAATAAATTGGAAGTTTATAAAACCAAATTTTGTATAAAAAATAACAATTAAATTTTGGTATTCTAAGGATAAACTCATAACATTATGTTTCATGTTTTCTATACATTATTCGCAATTAGAAATTTGATAATCGAAACATACCAAAATGTTTTACACAAAATCAAACATTTCAACTTCAATATTACATTTCTCGACACTTTTTGAATGAATATTATGAAAACAAATTTCGCTACCTTCAGTGTGGGTTCACCTCCTCTTATAGGTATACGAATGCAAAGCCACTGAAACTAAAACACCACACACGAAATGAACTCACTAAACTTGTCTGTAGACAAGTTGTTATTCGCGCACTGTGTGGTACATCCAACGAGTTAAATTCGCGACTGAGCCACATCGAACGTTCAGGCAATCAGGGTCCAGTCTCCTACACGAATGACTCACAGCTGATCACCTTCATCCACACGGACTTATTTGGAGACATCCAATGCATCTAGACATACCTACTACATATACGAACCAATGTCGATGCCAAACTAATATATGCCAAATATGAACAAACAGGCTTAAAGTTGCACGTCTTACAAAGTTATGCAGATGCATACGACAAGATGTTGCCCTGAAAAGGAAGTGAAAGTATTTTTTTATGTAGGTGTTCAGCTTTATTAAGGCGGTGGAACAAACAGGACATAAAAAGAGAAACACATCATTTACTTTTCTTAGTTTTAAAACGGTATGATGAACGGTCTGTGATTATAGTAAAGGCCTGCGCAGACGACGGACTTTAGTTCATGGAGGACAAAGTCCCTGAATCGTGAATAAAACGTCTGCTGAGGACTTGTTACGGACTCATGGCACACGGTGTGTGAACATTTGTTGCCCGAAAATTGAAAGAAGTGCACACTATGGAAGTAAATGTTCTTAGATTACGTTATGTTGTAATAGTCTAAGATCCGAACCTACATCGACCTTCGCCTACCTGATAATAGAATGAAACATATTTTATCATGAATTCAGTATAATAGAAAATATATTAAAAATGGGTTGCCGGATAAATCCTGGACAGACTATTTTTAATCAATTAAAAAAATATATTTTTAAGTAAGTTTTGCAAAATCAAGACAATAAGAAAATTTTGTCCTGACTTACAGTATAAAAGGTTATCGTTGTATAAAACGTATAAAATGTGCAGCCGTTGGGTTGTGTATTATTTACCTAGGCGAACTACTGGGTTGCCAGGTATAAACAGGTGTATCGATGCCAGTTACGTTCCCCAACGGCTGTAAATTCTATACGTTTTACACTTTAAGTCAGGACAATATTTTGTTATTATCTTGATGTTGCAACTTTAATTGAAAATATATTTTTAAAATTAATTAAAAATAGTCTGTCCAGGAGTTTTTAGGCAACTCATTTTTAATATATTTTCTAATATACTAAGTTCATTATAGAATATGTTTCATTATATTATCAGCTCGGTGAAGGTCGATGTAGGTACGGATCTTCTTCTATAATTAACATGAAGTTTAAGAAATAGAGAAGATGTTTTAAAATAAAATACTGGATCTAGCAGTTTAAATCGGATCGAGCACGTTACGCGGACTAAAGTTCTCTGTGTGCGTTGATGCGCCTAGTCACATGAATTCAAATTTTTTTCGGCAACTCCCCCGTTCTTTTGTCCAGTCCGGTCTCTCGATGTCCTCGGTCATTTAGGGAACTTTTTGTACGCGGTAATTTTAATCCCTCGTGTGCGTTACTCGATGCAGTCGGTCGTAAGCGATTTATTTTGACGAAAAAGTTGGATAACGGTCCCTCGTCTAAGCAGGTCATTAGTTTTAGTAATTTAGGTTTCATTATAATAAGTGTTAGTAATTATAAAAATATTCGTTTAGGATTCTACTAATACATACTAACATACATTCATTGTAAAGGATAATAGGTTCTACTATTGTTAATCAAAAGCACCATATAATTCGAAATTTCTTTTTGGTTAATAGAACATCACCCAAAGGTGAAAATTTATATTTTCATTCAATAAAAGTATATTATTATATTAGTGTTTAGTTTTCGTTCAAATTATTTCGAATGGTGTCTACATTTTATACCGCTGTGTCATATCCAGTTGTACACATATACAGAGGACAATAAATATTTGAAAATACTCTACTATAAAGATAAACTACGGACATAGGAGTAAAAACTTGTACCTCGTTAAAGGAGGAATAAAAGCTTTAGACTATTTACGCCGTGCTTTGTTCATATCACTCTAGTGCCATTAGTAGTTCAATGAACAAAGACTAAACATAGAGTAACTAATCCAAGCTTATTCTTCATTTATTAATAATGGGGTTCATGTGTAGGTAACGTAACAAGAAAGTAGTAAAAATAAATTAACTGCTGCAACGACATCTTTATGTAAATAAGACTGCAGTCACGACCTAGTTAACTTCAACAAACAAGTGTCGCAGAATGAATCGCAAAATTTTACGAAAGCATAATTTCCAGTGAATCCTTTATACATAAAAATAAACCAGCACTTTTGGTAGTAAGTAATAAATCAAGGTCTCACGGTCACAACCAGTGACGTCAATTAAGTAACTTTTAGGTTTGATCAAAGTTTCCGTCAGTTTCTTATCGATATCAATAGGGGTGATGACGGGGTAAGGAAAATGTAATAGGCTATTTGACAGTATGGAAAATAATGTACCAATTGTTGGCAACTGTATTTAATATGAATATAAGCAGCGTATTTACTATTCTGAAAACACAAATAGTTAACAACTTTTCTAAAAATCATTCAATGGAACTGTTTTTTTTTCTCAATGGTTACGTGACCGCAGAACGCCTGCGATTGGCCAAAACTAAAATGACGTCACACGCTAGTATACTTCGGACCAAAGTGTCATTACATTGTATCATTTGGCGTTTTAATGACAGTCGTGTGACGTCACACACAAGTTAGATGCCATAATGTTCAGAGAAACGTTTTTCGTCAGATTATCAAAAAATAATGTATATACGTATACATAATTGTTTGTTAATCTTTCTTTCTGATATTTTTTTCTTTTGTCAATCGAAATAAAAATCAAAGATTAAGCGCATCAAAGTTTGGGAGTGGGGCTCGTGATGTCACTTCTAAGCAAAAATTGTTCCAAGGCGTGACGTCATGCAACATTTCAAATCAATATATCAGTGTAATGTTTTGATTATGCGAAAAAAGAACCTGATAGACGCAGAAAAAAAAGTTAGTCATTATCCCTAATGAGTTAAACAACACGTGACTTAATTAAGCATTTGTAAAAATTACATCTCAGAGTGCGGCTGTTAATTTCAATGAATTGATAGAAGTATAGGCTGGAGAACCTTGTATTGGCAGCTCACAATTTCAACTACCTATAAACGCTTACAATTATCTACCATACGACAGAATGCCACGACTACCCACGAACCTATTATGGCAACTCAAGTAAATTCGATTAGGCGTTACGTTTGCAGCTGTCGTATTGATGCGCACCACTAGCTCTACGGACTGTAGGAGTGCCATTTAGAACAATCACCATATTTCAAACCACAATGAGAACAAACTTTATAAGGATAACTTGCAAAATCTGCATTCAATAGGTAATCTTAATAAATTATGTAAGTACTTTTATTCTAATATATTCTCGGTTATTTTGATAACATAGGTGGTAAAGCAATTAAATTGTTGTTTCAGCTGAATAATAATGGTATTTTAAGTATAAATAAATGAGATAAATCCACCCATCATCGGTTTGTATATATGAATTGTTTTGTTTGTTATTTTTTTTTATGTTCATATTGCGGGTAACCAAAATAGTGTAAATACTGGTTAATACTGTAGATTTAATTCTTAAACTGAAATACCTACACTCAAATTTATTATCGCGACCCTAACAAATGCCGAAAATCTACTAGACAATAAGTTGTTGATTTAATTTCATACTTATTTATTATTGCACTAATAAAAAGTCTAATAGTTTTGACCGAGTGTTATTGTAGCAAAAAAGATGCATGGACAGTTACAGATAGACTTCAGTTATTAACTCGTGAAATATCCGATAAGACTTCCAAATTATGTTATTATAGCAGCCTAGCAATTTGATTGTAGTTTAGTCAGACAAATTTCGCTTTCACACGCAAGCTCACTTATGAGATGAACACAACATCGTCACCCCATATCATTTCCATAAATTCGAATACGAATTCTTTACTTTCTCGTGATGTCATTCGGTTATTTTTTGCGGTGATTAATAAATTGCAACATTGCTTTTTTTTCATTCACGATAAACTTGTTTGTATTCGACGTATTATTACATCATCAACAAAAACAAGGCTATTCAATGCTCACCTTTAGCTGTCATTCCTTCTGTATTGTAGGAAGCGGGTCCAGGCCCTGCTTTTGAACTAGCGGAGGTATCAAGTTTCTGTCCGAAGGTGAATGCGGGAGCCCGAGGTCTGCGTGACTCTTGGGGCGGTTTGCCTGCGAAGTTTAGGAATTCTTTAGTCAACTACCTATTTATAAAATTGCGCCTACTCGTTATTCCCAAGAATTTCCAACTAGATGCACTTTCACAAATGCATACCTACATAATAGCCGACAATAAAATACTACAATTATAATAATTAAATAAAAAAGTATTACCAACACATACCAATTAGCCTAGCCCCAAAGAAAACACTGGAAGGCTTGTGTTATGGGGTATTAGGGTAATGGTTAGAATCGTGGTTAGAATACATATTACTCATATAAGTCGGTAAATTTTATGTACAAATACATAGAAACACCCATGACTTAGGAACAAATGCTCGTATTCGTCATACTAACATTTGGCTAACCGGGATTCGAACCCGGGAAGGCACAACAAGTAGGCGACACCTTGTAACCCGGCGTACATAACAATCGGCCAGGGAGGTCGTCATTTTAAGTTGTTAGCAAATTGTAGCAGTTTTCATTACTGAATTATATTTATAGGGATCCTATAGCGTAAGATTTTAGTGACAGAAATAGGATATCTATACATATAATAAAATGGTAGCAAAGTCAAAACTGTACATTGAATATTTTTTTAAAAGAATACTTGGGGTGTGATCTACAGTCGATACAATTAGAATTTTTGTCTGTTTTTCTGTATGTATGTTAGGGATAAACACAAAAAGTACTGCATGGATTTACTTCAAATTTGGCATGAATATTATTAAGAAGCCGGGTCAACATATAGGCTACATATTATTACGCTAACTTCACCTAAGGGGGTAATACGGGGGTAGGAAGTTTATATGAAATTCCTAGGTTTTGAAGTAAGAGACTTGAAATTTAACATGTATGCTCTATAGATGATGTAGAGGTGTACTAATAATGTATCTTTAGAAATAAACCCCCTTTTGGGGTCAAAAAGTATGTTCAAATAACTAACTCCACGCGTACGAAGTCGCGGGCGGCCGCTAGTAAGTAAGATATAATAATGATAACATCAAACAGAACAGACCAAAGAGATTACAATAAAATATCTTGGTCGGACGGACGACAAACCTCACCTTGTACAGGGTCAATGTTTCGCCCACACTCACTCACTGAGACTACTATAATAGGTTTAGATTAAATCACGCACTTGTAGTCACATATGTTGGATATTTTAAAGGAGTTTTAGCTGATGTGTGGAAAATTGTAAACCAAAAAAGAAACACTTAAACGTACTCGTATATAGAAGCCGCGCGTGCGATCGGAAGGTCAGTGAGAACTGATTTGATTTATTTCGAGGTGTAAAAAGTAGGTAGCGAGCTGTTTCGACTTGGAATAACATGATGTCACGTTGTGTACCAACAAACCGAGCGAGGCCGCTGTTTGCGGCGCGAGCGATAATCTCACAACCTCCGGATGACATCAGCGAGTCCAAGTGAACAATACCAAAATGAACTGACGATTTGAACTGGCACAAAAGAAATTTATACCGTACAGAAAATACAAAAGATAAAAAAAAACAAAGATGTATACAATATCTTGTTACATACCAGTGTCTTTTACCAGAATACACAATACAATTTTAGGTTTCACTATATTTGTTTAAGATAATTCTAATGTTTACATATAATTTGAGATAAGAGCTCTATCTTTTATGTTTTGATGTAAAAGGAGTTTGTCATAATGTTTTATTTTTGTAATAGGTAGTTATTGGAATCCTACTTATCTTAGTAATACTATAAATGTGCAAGTTTGTGTGCTTGTTAGTCAATCACACAAAAACTACTGAATATTTTTTGATGAAATTTGCTAGGCATATAGTTTTTGAACTGGATTGAGACAAATGATACTTTTTATCCCGGAAAAATGTTAGGTTCCTGTGGGAGGCTCAAAATACCTCTTAAATTGTCTCGAAGTCTCGGTAATAAGTCTATAAAATATTGACTACTTATATCAAGTTTTATTTTATAATGCAAGCTTAAAATGTCGACCCAATAAAAGAAATTATCTGTCTCACGATCGCGCACATCGGAAGGTCGATCCGATTGAAGCTTCACTGAGCACTTACTCTACCGGAAACATGACACGATCAGTGGATCTGTGACATTCCCCGAAATCACATCCACTCAAGCGGTTGTTAGGCTGTCAAGTCCGTTACATTGCCACGTGACAACTGTTAACTTTTATAGAAAAAACTCTTGGTGAAAATATATTTTGAATTTTTACTACAAAATGTAGATTAGTTATAATAATAATAATAATGTTTATTCATCAAACCTTACAAGTACTACTACAATATCATCTTAAAATAAACAAGGAATAATAATTTACTGATAATCAGTTTTACAATAAATTAGTTAGATCTAAAAACAATAAAAAGATAAATAAGTAGCCTGAACTAGGACGACCCTGTGTTTCAGTCAAGAGAATCGTAAAAAAACATTAATACAGCAATGATCAATAGCATAGGTACAAGAATAAAAGAATAACAACCACAAAAAACTTACTTATGGTACTAACATTAGCTAAAATTGGTATTTAATCCAGTTTAATTGTTATTAAACCATACACGACGTTGTATTCTTACAATGTGCTTTTGGCAAAACAAAGAAAAACAGACTGCAGTTTTCTCTTTATTTTTTTAAATTCAGAACACAGCTTTTACTGTCTTTAATTAGCTGACCAGCTACAAATACGTTAAAACAGTTTGTGTTATGTTCCCATAGTGAGCAGTGTCTAAACTACTAACGAACACAACTATTTTTTGTGCCACATTGTAAGAATACAATGTCGTGTATAGTTTAATAACAATAACACTAGATTAAATACCAATTTTAGCTAATTTTAGTACCATAAGTAAGTTTTTGTGGCCAATTAGGGAGTGTGTGACCACCACTGTATATAAAAGAATAATACAATAATGATCTATCAATAAAATCTTTTTTAAGAAGGTAAATTTAAAAAATCAAATAACTAGAATGCTTAAATATTACTTCAAATTAAAACTGAAAAGAAAAAACAAGTCCAGTAGTCTATAATTCTGTTAAGTAAGGAACAAAGCTAACTATGTAAAAATTAGCGAATATCGAATTACTGTTTACCAAAAATGCTAAGTGTAACTTTTACAATTATAATCAAATAAACCTATTAAACTTAGTTTATTTTTAAAACTTTTTTATCAATTAAATATTTATTATTTTATCTATACTAATATTATAAAGTCAGTCAAACTACTGAACCAATTTAGAAAATTCATTCATCTTAAGGTAGCTACATTATTTACGGAAGATACAGTTAAATTATAATTATTAATATGCGGGCCGGACGCGCCTTCGTCCACGTTAACTTTGTTTTTTTTGAGAATCCGCAGGAACGTAATTTTGTTCCGGGTTAAAAAGTATCCTGTACCTCAATCCAGGTCATATACTATATGCGTCGGTCATTGGGTTGAGGAGTGTAGTGTAGTGAAACTCTATTAAATCAGGTCTGGCGGAGAGAATTTTCAATATGAATATGTATAAACGATGGGTGCAATTAGCATCCTGAATCATGACACGACTGACCTCTTATGTAATTTGTTTTTGTATTTGTGAATGTAGTAATTTGACTTCTGTTTATATATAATATTAATATCATTATAAAAAAAATGTAAGTTGTAGGAATAGATCTTGTTTCTGAAATAATAGTATTTTATTATATACTATATATACTAATCACACTAATATTATAAATGCGAAAGTTTGTGAGTGTGTGAGTGTGTATTTTTGTTACTTCTTCACCTCAAATGGCTGGAGCGATTCTAATAAAATTTGGTATGGAGTTAGCTGACACCCTGGATTAACACATAGGCTATGTTTTACTGCGGGAAAATATACCTAATAAACCGCGGGTAACACCGCGGGGCACAGCTAGTGGGTACTAAATTTCATCCAAATCCGATCAGTAGTTTTTGCGTAACAGACATAAAAACTTCCATATTTCTAATATTAATTAGGCTTCCGTTACCTATCCGTACAAAAAAAAACATCGACACACAGCACCCGACCTTAGACCACCAGACTCATGTGACGCACCACGGATCAGCCTGCTGGGTCCGAAAATTTTTTAATTGATAAATATATAAACAATTTTTGTTTATGCGAATATGACGGATATAAATACCGACATTGATCTTACGACGACCTTTATCAAAAGCTGTTTCATACTTTTTCTTTTAATTTTTACATGCACCTTATTATTGCATTAGCATGATATTGAGAAATGTTAGTAAAATATTAAAATGGATATTATTTATACTACGCGCAACTTTTGGTTAATAACCCAACCAGACATACCGGCTTATTCGCTAACTTTTTTGACATTTACGGTAACTAAAGACGATATTGCATATCCATCGATAATTTTCAGAACAAGTATCTTATTGGCGTTATAATAAAGCTGTAATGGATCACTTAATAGCTCGGTGATTATCACTTCCATATGTCAAAAGCAGTTAGCGAGTAGGCCGGCTGACATTAAGTGTAAATGATGTTAGCCTCGTCTCCTAGATATCGCATATTTTAAGGATGCCAGAAAAATGTGAGCCGCTTCAGACATCCTCACCGTCCTGGCCTAAACTTAATCGACTCACTGGTAGAGCCCTGAAACCTGACTTATCAACCTTAATAAACTTATATGTATTTATAGACAATAGGAAGAGAAAAAGAAAAGTTAATAATATTGATTCAATACCTATTAGAGTTGGTAGAGATACTACAGCAGGTCCAGGGCTTGAAGCCTCAGCAGCGATCGGTCCTCGTCTCTTGGTTGGTGTCCAAGGGTTCTGGCGTACTCCCATTAGTGATTCACAAGGGTGGAGTTTCTTGGGTAGCGAAGAAGATGTCCTTATCATGCGAAGAGGAATGCCACGCCGTGAACTTGCAATCTGTATTTGATTTAAGCATGTTATTAAGATTGGTGGTTACTACACTATATGCACCGTGCACATTCAGTCTGCGATCGTGAAAGTTAATTCAAGTCAAGCGTCGCAATAACCGGTCATAGGATGGTGACCAAAAATCTTATAAATCAAGCCTCGAAAACGGGATTCCTTCTACGCCTGCAATCATTAACGATCACCAATCTTACTGACTTGCTGGGATTGCATGGTAGGTCAAGGCAAGGGCCTATTCCTCCTATTCCATTCATGGGCAAGGTAGCCTTTGGTTATTTATACGCCTAGTTGAGCAATCCATATAAAACACGCAAAGAAAATGGCTCATGTTACCCGCAATGTGTGCGTGACTCTAATGTCAGATTGTATTAAAGCAGTCAATGTATGCGTGTGTACCGACAAGCATATCTACCATATATATTATTTTTGTTCTCCGTTTCTTCCATACAGTTAATACAGTATCTAGATATATATAATCAAAGGCCTGTGCCCCTACCAATGGGAACATTAATAGGTTAATGATGAACCATCGTCATCAGCCAAGCTGCAGAGACACAACTCAGCACGCGGGTTTAGCATTAATTGACAACTGCAATCGCATTGTAAGCACTAAGCACTATGGTATGGAGCTCAAGAATTCAATGTAGGTAGTAACTAACTGGAGGCGGACTACATACGTAAAAGCGCCAGCTATAACGCAATCGTAATCGGAAGTTTACAAAAAAAAAAAGATACCTTAACTTTAAATTTAGAAAAACCCGATGTTTGTTCAGAATACGGAGGAAGAGATATGTTGAGCTCACGATTTGCTTACACTAGCAGAGAGACGACAGATGCTATAGACATGGGTTTCTTAAATGACATTATCCGCGGCCGTTTGGATTGTCCGAGTTAAGTTGAACTAATCTTGTAATGTACCCCCTCCGAGGCACATTCGCCTTCTACATGGCCCAAACCGTCGCATAAACTATGGACAGAACTCAATATTTGATTGGTTCTAAGACTAGTAAAGTTTCAAAATAATGGAAAAACAACATTTGAAAACGAAAGTGTAGATAAATGAAAGATGGGAAAAAAACATTAAATTATAAGTACTGTTGTATTAAAGTCGCATAGTTGTGTATGTTAATTTTAAATTAAATAGTCGTATGAATATAACTTAAGTTACAATATAAAATTAATAATTAATTAAGTAATATTGTGTAACGGTACAATTCCGTTCCTCTCTTTTATAATTTGTTAGTAATGTACATAATTAATAAATAGGAATTTTATGAAAAAAATATAAACATCAACATATTGTTTCTTTTTCTTTCTTTTTTTTCTAAATGGCTTCGCACGGCTTGTGCCTTTAGCCAATGTCAAGTGTTAAAATGTTTAAAAATTCTATAGCACTCCTGGTCAAAGTAATAAATCAAGTCAAAGTAAGTGACAGTCAAGTCAAACCCCCTTTCCCTATGTTTCAGTAAATGGAACCTCCCTGTTGACCTCTTGAGGGAACGTCGAAAGACACTTTCCGATATTTTGTTTCACTTGCCAACACTTGTGCATGTTCCCGAACACTTAGTGGTTAATAATCCACCAGTATTAGACACTAACATCCGCCACAACACAATTTTTAACAAGAAAAACAAAACAAACTAATCATTTTAAATAAATATAGGCAATTTGATTTTACCGTACTGTAAAATAGAATTTAAACTGCTGTTTAAATCTGTTTGCAAATTTGTCTGATAATTTGTATTATTTGATTAATTTCGAGCTGTGTACTATCCCTAAAATAAATAAATAAATACTCTACGGTAAATGCAAAAAATACTTGAAATCCACCTAAACTCCAAACCTAATACAAAAAGTAACACTTGCAAAAAGACTATTAGTAAATTGATACCTTTGTATTAAAAGAGGTATCACTTTATCACCCAAAGTGATACCTCTTTTAATACAAAGTATAAAACGTAAATAAAAGTATAAAGTATAAAACTTAAGTATAGTTTAACTAATCATTTGCTAATTGTTCGATCTTTTTATGGCTTAATTTCTTTTGAACAAACTATAATTACCTACCGATCTTGTAGTGCTTGCAGTAGTGGCATTAGATTTTCGATTCATGATTAGTTATTAAGTATATGTAAGTAAACAAAAAGTTTAAAGGGCCGCCCTCAAAAGAAAACGATTGCAATAAAACATTAAACAAGCTTAAAACTGTTTAAAAAATCTATAACATAATTTAGTTCAAAACATAAAAACGCATCAATATCACCATGACAGCTGCCATCAGTGACAGAAAGTCATCTATGTGTTTACCAAACCATAGATATATAACTTCATGATACAAACTCTTTAAACCACATGCAGCCTTCCATTCCCATAGACTGGGATTTGATACATAGAGCAATACGGAAAGAAGTAGCCATAGCGTCATAATACTATTCAAATCACTCTGTAATTTTTTGCGGGTGGGAATATGCACACAAACGCAGTTTAACGTACACGCATATAAAACAAAACTGTAACTCCGAAACTCGCACATGAACAATAACGCAATATATCTTCAAATCCTGCACACACATATCGTTTGCATGCCCAATTTGTGTGCCCAACCTGACAGAGGGGAAAGCTGTGTATGCCTACTCCCTTCCTGGCTGCGCCGGTCGTGTTGCTCTATGATCTGATACAATATGACACCAATGCTGGCGCACAAGATTTCCGATTTCCCATATAAAAACAAGCTTAAAAGATCCTAGATTTTAATATCGAAGGCAGGTGCTGTTTCATTGAAGCTTTTGACACTATTGCACTTTTACTTGCATATGTTTTCATGGGAGGTTGATAATGTGTATTACTAACAAGCCTAAGCAAAAACTACCCAAAAGGAAAGGGAAGCGTCGGGTCACTAATTTGATATAAACATAAAATTACCTATCTTGCCATAATGTAATCAATATCAAGAATACCTATGCAACTAACCGACTACCAACTTGCCTTCCTATTACTGATAGCTCAAGATAACGCCTCAACGTATATTATGTATGCATTATATGTAGTGTATTTTTAGCTTTGGTCAGACCTCACTGAAAGGCTGTACTAACCTATCGTCTTCAATACTATCCATAACTAACAAAGTAATCCATTGTTAGACTTCCAATATCATCGTGAGGTAATTTAACATTTTCCACTTCCAGTCCATCAACATACGCACAAATACATACATATTATACAATAAAAACACATTTTATTTAACTAGTAATAACAGGACATACCTCCTTTGTAAACATAATATGTTTCAATTCGTGACAATCACCAAACAATAAAAAGTTGAGTCTATGAAATTGCAGCAAAGTGGTCACCAAGTAAGTGTTGACATCATTATTCTATTTTTGGGTATATATGTAATTCTCTCGTATCTCGTCAAAAATAAGGTATTCCGTCGCGTTCTTGCCACGTAAACCATAAAACAGTTATTTTCCATCAATAATAATGCTTTTTCACTTCAATTTTTTGTGGTAGCGAAGTCAACAAGAAAACCTTTTAGTTTCACCATGTCAGTCCGTGCGTCCGTCCAAAGCTTAGCTCAGAGCAGAGGCCATTAGTATTATCTATACTAATATTATAATAGGAAAGATTTGATTCTTTGTTTGTTTGTATTGAATAAGCGCCGAAACTACTGGGCCGATTTGAAAACTTCTTACACATTTAGAATCCTACATCATCCCTGATGAACATAAGCTATAGAGTATTTTCAAACGTTTTTCCAACATTTTACATCGATACTGCGCTCCTACAGCGTTGCAGCGTAATATTATATAGCCTATTCCTCAATAAATGCACTATCTTACACAAAAAGATCGGACCATTAATTCCTGAGATTTGCGCGTTTAACCAAAAAAATGGTGTATTCGGTACAACGAGTCCTCAACTACGCAACAATTTTTTCAATATCAGTTAAATATTTTTTTTATGGAAGGTTTATAAAAGAAATTCATTGTGTATAATACAAGCCTGAGGAACAAAAACTATAGTCTACACAACAGCTCTACACTACACCGAAGCGAAGCGAGGACGGGCCAGTAGTAAAGCTATAATTTAACAACATTTTCACTATCACAGTTAAATTTTTCACGAAAGGTTTATAATTATATTATGAAGAAAGTCATTGTGTATAATACAAGTCTGCGAACAAAAACCATAGTCTACACTACAGCTCTACACCGAAGCGAGGCGAAGGTGGGCCACTATTATTCATGTTTATGAATATTATAAGAGAAATCCTTGAGCACCGCCACTCACGCATCCTTCCCTGCAGTTTTGTCATATTCTATTACTGTGAACATTAGTTGTTATTATTATGGTGAACCGTTCCAAAGTTTATTTGCTAAATGAAGGCTGCTTTCGTGCCTCAAACTTGTCTCATTAGTTGTACTGATTAAAGCTTGTTTGAACCAGCAATATGGTAGCTTCAATTAAGCGTCTACTTTAATTTGAAGATATTTTATAATAACCTAACCACATAGTAAATTAATGTCTTTGAACCTAACATAAAATACAGAAGAAATTTGATGGAAGAAGTTTACTGGAAGTTTTTTTTTATAAAGACAAAATAAAGGCTTCTTTTCTGGTACGATTACAATAAGGATTCTGATTACCTATCAAAAATATTATTTTTATGTCATTTAAAGGTAAAAATAAAAAACCTATAAAATCAGAACATGTAATCAGAAATAATTATTAAGATATCGTGAAATATTGTGAAATAATACTAAACAGGGCAATTTTATCATTATAAATACATTAAGACATCGACACAAAAGGGAGAGCAATTAAAACTGTAATATTTAAATCTGGTTTACATAGTAAATTGTTTATTGAAAATATATAAAAAGTCACTTAAATCCAAGAAGCCATAACAAGATAGGCATGGTATAACTTCCACATTCGCAACCAATTCTGTAATACTTTAATCGTTCGCGAAACCAATGCCTATCGGATAG